ACTCTGGGTTCCGTAACCAATCGACCTCTGTAAAGGAGACCATTACTTCTACTGCAAATAAAAGTCGTATGACGCCATGGCTTTGCATACTTCTGATATGACAAATCTCGAAAAGGATCCAATTGGCAGCGCGGGAACTAGAAATCCCACTGGATCAGGATTAAGTGGAACCGCCCACCAAATAAATATCGTATTAATATTATATGTGCAAGAAAATGGCGGATCTGATGGTTCTGTCAGAAACAGTGCTCATGGTTGAGTGGTTGCGTCCGTTGAAGGTAAATCTTTTCACCAAACTTATGCCCCGTCCTGTACTGTTCCATCCGCGAGGTTTATATAATATTACGGGTACCCCCAGGAGGCCCGTCGCGCGGCAAGAAGGCAAAGTCAGCGGACGAGTCGCGCGCGTACTATAGGGATTTCGCGTCAAGTTAAATAGTGTCCCATTGCACGTCCTACATCGCACATCACGCGCTGCAACTCGTCCGCCGACTCTGCCTTCTTGCCGCGCGACGGGCCTCCTGGGGGGTACCCTTCAATTACTCACAACTCTTGTGGTGCGTGAATGAGATAGCGTGCCACTTGTGTCATCTTTGGCCTCTTTTTTGGATTCCCTCGCCAACACGCTTTCATCACCCTCCTTGCCAGAACTGGTAGGCTGTCATCTACACGAGGCCGATACTTCGGATTAGCGACCTGCAACATGGTACAAATCTTTCTCTGAAAATGTGTTGTATCTACTTTTACAATCGAGGTGGCGTAAAAATGGCGTGAATTAAATATTAAGTAGTGGAAGGAGCCGAAGTGAATGGTAGGACTTTCACTGTGTGAGTAATAAGCTGTTCTGGTGTTATATGTGCAAAAATTACTGTTAGAAGCCCTTCTATTGTTTGCATAAAATATCGTAGCTTACACGTTACACCTTTCCTGTTCACCTCATGTGCATTTCTGCTAACCGTAAGGCGAATCCTCGTGACAATCGTGAAATGAGCCTGCACAAGCAAATCGTTTGCTTGTAAATTTAATTTGAACCTCTTTATCTTGATTCCCTGAATACCCGGTTTATGGTGACCAGATAGCCGGATAGAAAAAAGCCCAGACAAGGTTCACCCCAGAATATCTTAGATACGTATCGGGAAAGAGTAAGTTTCCGATGGTAGGCACGTGTTCTGATACTAAGGCACGCTCGTGGGAGGGTAACAATGCACTCAGCGAACTGAAGCAACTGTGCACTAGCAGTTCTGCGCTGCCCGTTCACACGCACTCAACCGTTAATCGTGCTCTGTTCAATCATTTCTGAACATACCGCGGGCCATGTCCTTGAGCGCTCAGGCTAATATTGGCGATACAGGTGAACTCAAAAACTGCTTTGAGCGAGATCATAGTGACAGCATGAGTGAAGCTAGGCTACATTTGTTCGAACGAGAGCGAACGGATCGAGCGGCGATTAGCGCTGAGGCCATATAGCACCAACATGAGTAGGAAATACTCACTTTTAGTCTGATTTCCTTGTTGCCGATTCCTTTGTATGGGGTCTCGCCGTTGTTGAATATCTCCCAAAGAAGTATTCCGTACGAATAAACATCGCTTTGCATTGTATATACTCTCGTTAAGACTACCTCAGGGGCCTGCCTGAATTTCGTGGCGATAAGTAAAAAGTTCAGTTATAAAATACTCTAAATACAGCAACATAGAATCAAGTGTTCACTAGCCATCTTATGGGTATTTTTTCAGTCTCCGGAATTTTATACAATTCTGCTTGCTTTGATGCACCAAAGTCAGAAATCTTGACGATGTTTTTCTTCACATCAATCAGACAGTTCCGACAAGCGATATCCCTGGATTTAATTCTTATACAAAAAAGTGACAAACGAACTAATCCTACCTGTGCATGCAGCTTTTCGAGTGCAGGTAGACCAGACCGACGGCTACATCGATACTGAATCCAATTTTCGTCCTCACGGGTATCTTAATATGAATTATTCACACTATCTTACAGTGATTCGCCCCAGACATAAAGCCTAAGAGTGAATGAGTTTCGACAAAATGTAAGTGAAGTGCTTGGCCACTCAAACTATGCAGTCAACTCTGAAGTCATCCTTCACTGCTTCATCAGCAAGTGGAAGACAGGTAAGCTACCCATCTGATTTTATTTGTAGTTATCCGAGTGACCCTCCTCTTATCTAGTTTTTTTCTGGTTGAGAAAAGAAATTTTCTAGTCGAGGAGAAAGTTGTGCAGGATTGTTTTAAGTGTTTATTTCATTATTGCACATTCCTCATCACCAATTTCTCAAATCCTGGACTAAATGCCGCACACTCAATAATGGCGAAGGTCTGGATCAGTTTTAGGGAGACGGGAAATTGCTGCCCCTCCCACCCCTGACTCTTCTTCTTCTCGCGTCAACTCTGTGTGATATCCCCTAAAGGCATCGATTATGATGAAGAAGGAGCTCATCGGGGACCCGTACGCACCGCACGAACAGTTACCCTCGCCTTCAAATAACCAGAAATTGTGCAATTGCAGAAATTGACGTGGCATTAACGTGGCATCGATTCAAGAACATCTTTGAGCACACGTGATGTCACCTTTTCATCGAGAATTTAGCCACGTGTGCCACGTGCACAATTTCTGGCTATTTGAAAGGCGAGGGTACTTGGCTCCCAAAGGAAGCGAGGCGTTGCGCTTCCGCAAAGAAAGGTACTGTAGCGACCCGGTGCCCCCAAGGTGTGGTGGAAGGAGTGCATCGGTGGCGGAGCACCGAGGACACGGCAGAACGGGTATTAGAAGGGCCCGAACACCCTGTCCTAGGGGGATGCGTCGCGTAAGGAATGCTCTGACGACTGTTGCCTGCCGCGAGCCTGGTGAGGCCCTCTCCCCTATCTGACGACCTTACGACCGTGCTGCTAAAGATGTGTATATATTGCTACATAACAGAACACTAAGTATTAAGGTGATTTATGCTAATATTACAATAGATTGCGAGACTACGTTATATAGAAGGATGAGAGAGATGGGAGAACCTACGGGCACGATCGGAAGGATAAGCGGCGGAGTGGTATGCGACCGATCCGTTGGCTGTCGTAGATGGTGTTGACGGCAGCTCCAACCATGGCTGAGGACTCCACGGACACAACCGCTCGGCGAGACGACTGGACGACGACTGACAGACAGACGAGCGCGGGCCAAGGCAGAGATGCAGAGCACTTCCCGCACTTCTGGATGTTGCATGCGTTCGAACCATGGGAAAGTGTCTGCGTCCGTGGAGAAGGCGTAGTATTTCGTCCTCCATAGCGTGGGAACATGGCTGGAGCACGGGAAAGTATCGGCGCATACCTTGCACGTTGAAAAGGTCGTGACGAGAGTCACGACAGGTGCGCTGATTGCTGAGGGAGACTTCGAAAGCACTCCGCCCACAAAAGCGATCCGCCCACTAGTTATGGTGATTTGGACGAGCTGCGTTGCCAGCAGCGGCACAACTGGAGCAACTCGACTGGAGCATGGATTGGCATGCTGTCACCAAACGCGTTGCGATGAACTCGTTCATACGTCCGCTTTCTGAGCTGTTACCTGTTCATGAGTGAAAACCAACGGCCAAAAAGGGGTCCCGTTTGCGTTGCGGATTCTCCGCTTTTTTCGCCGCTGGCACACCAATAAGCATCACCAGTCTTTTACCAATCTTTTTAGAATCTATCGTAATCACTGCCGTTAAGTTGCTTCTTTGTTTCCGAAACTTAGTTTGAATTTACTAGTTCCTTTAAGTAGCCCATAGTTTACACTCTGTTTTCGCACTGCATTATAGACGCTAGTATAAGAAGCGCTGCGTCCCTCCGCCATCATTGTCACTGTATGAGGAAAACCATATTTAGAAAAAATGACCAGTGTTTGCAATGGTTTCCTGCTACTGTTTCCCTCGGTTTCACACGTGTATAGAGTAAAAAAGGTGAAAAAAGTTACTGCATTCGGATCAGAATCCGATGTTGATGATTGTATGTACAAGCAAGTATATCCAAAACACTCTTAATATGAAGACCTGCTGAAAGCGTCTCGGGAAATGTATGCTGGAAAACTTATGGGTGGACACACTACCTAAGTATGTATATGGGCGGCGTTGTGTGCATGCAATATCACCTGTCGTCCCGTTGATCGTCGATTTGCTCGAGCGGGCGCCAGCAACGTCTCCATTCGTCCCTGTCGCGTGCAAGAGTGGTCCAGTGGATCCTCCTTGCTCGAGGGACACGAAGTCCTTCATTCCTTTCGTTCAGAGCTTTCGTGAAGAAGTCTGACCATCGGGCCGGCGGTCGTCCAGGTGTTCGTTTGACGTCCCGAGGGATCCAGTCGGTAACCGCTCTGGTCCAACGGTCATCGCAAAATCGCATGACGTGTCCGGCCCACCTTATCTTCGATTCCTTGGCGAAAACGGCAGCGTCCCTGATCTTCCGACGTTGGACGTAGTTCAAAACTCCATATTCCCCTCTGCACTTGCGTTTATAAAATGAGATCGTCCTCTTGACAGCGCATTGGATTGGGTCGGTGTCAGTTGGGAGTCTAGCGATTCGCGTTTCTAGCGTTTGATGGATTCGCTTAAGAATTTTGGGGTTTGCTATAAAAAGACTGGCACCGGCCATAACGTCGACTACATGTTCGTACTCCTGTGCAGATCTCAGCCTCTGAGGTCGAGGCAGGAAGGACAGCAGATTCAGAGAGGTGAGCACGGAGCCGGATGTTCTTCGTCTTCTTCACTTCGATGTATACGCTCCCCAATGCCGCTCGTTTCCTCCTGCTCAGCTCTGGAGCTAGATCGTTCATCATATTGATTTCCCGACCTAGGTACACGTAGCTGGAGCATTCGGTGATGTTCGTTCCGTTGAGCGTGAATGGGGCATCAGGAACCAATCCGTTTCTCATAAACATCGTCTTCGTCAGGTTCCTGCAGACTAATTACTACCACAGATTCCTTTCACTGATTTTCCTCTCTCACTGAAAGATCTCGAGCCGGTTGGTGGCGAGGCTACGTGGCGCGACCCCAGGTGGCGGATAGGGGGTAAATCGCGGACCAAAAGCCACCATGTACTTGCCCTGAGACGCAGGTGGATTCAGGGGATGGACTCCCTGTTTCTGTAGTGCTGTGTTGATTTCATACCAGCCGCCTTCACTTAGTCGCGAGGCAGGGATAGCCGAGTGGTTAAGAGGTTAGACTCATGTCTGCACCTCTGAAAAACCGCGAGTTCGATCCCTGCCGAGGCTCTAAACCATGCCTTGCAAAAATGGTTCTAGTACCAGCGTCAGGCCCAGGTTGACAGGCCGGCTGATGAAGACCCCAGTCACACCAAACATGTCTAAAGTCGAAAAAGGAATCAGTGATAAAGCTAGGACGTCACCCGGAAGTGGCGCGCAGAACCCCCGCCCGAGTTCTGTGGTCAGTATGCGAGGGCTACCGAGGAGTGAACGGCCTCGGCCAAGCTAGTTCGAATTGGGACTCTGAACGTAGGATCGCTAACTGGGAAGTCCCGAGAGGTTGCTGATCTGATGACGCGCAGGAATATCCAAGTCCTATGCCTTCAGGAGACGCGATGGAAAGGTGCTAAGGCCAGGGAAATCGGGGAAGGTGTCAACTCTACTACAATGGAGAAGACACCAAGCGGAACGGTGTGGCCATAGCGGTAGCGGAGTCGCTCAAGGACTATGTCTCCGCTGTGAACAGGATCAGCGATCGGATCATGGCTGTGAGGATAGACACGAAGGAGGGGTACTGGTCAATACTCTCCGTGTA